ACACATGCCTCCACCGGAGGTATTGTGATGGTGGCACTAGCGACTTTTCCGACCAACTGTCCTGCGGCCCAAATCGGTGCGTACCCTAGGTCCCCCCTTTATGTTTTTCAACGTCCTGAATCTGTTTATGGCGTTCGTTTCCCGAAATTCAATCTTTATGATATAGTTTTGTTAATTGGTACCTTTATGTGCTTAGGTGCTTTTGTGTATGGCGTTTCCGTCCTCTCTTGTTTGCATGGCTCTTTGACGGAAAAATATCGGTGAGTGGACCCCTTCTAAAATGCATATTTTACTATTAGAAATGTATACATGAAAAGTATGATTTAATGGCTATGTTTTATGAAACGTTTATGAGTAAATTAGATTTACACTTTAGGTTATATTATCATGCTTTATTGACTTTACATTTTTTGTGGTATATATGATTGATGACTATATACCTACTTATGAATGTGGTTTTGCGATATGGCATTTTAGTTACTGAGCTCCGATTTTACAGATATATATATATATATATATATATATATATATATATATATATTAGAAATATTATATTAATGTTTTTATGTGCTTACTTAGTGGTTATTAAACGATACTGCCTACGGGCGAATGATATATATGGCTTCGCTAGGCGTAGGTTAGTGGCTTCGGCTGGAAGATATTTATATTTGGCTTCGGTCGGGCGTTTGTAGATGACTTCGGCCGGAAGATACTTATATATAGCTTCAGCTGGAAGATATTTATGTTTGGCTTCGGCCGAAAGATACTTATATATGGCTTCGACCAGAAGATATTTATATTTAGTTGTGGTCGGGTGATATAGCGGCTTTGGTCGATTATGATAACACTACTAGCATATTATATACGATATATGTTTTACGCAAGGGTTTTATGACATGCTAGGGTTTTCGGAAACCTGTTACATATTATACTATTGAGCTTTCCTAAACTTTGGGGGTTATTACATTGATGAATAACTGTTTCAATATTACTTATATATAAATTTGGTCCACTCATGTTTTGTTTTGCACCCCACTTCGGACTTAGATTTGAGGCATACAATCCCAGTGTCAAGGCACTCCCGCATCGGCATCTTCGAGTCCTTTAGGTGTAGGATCCATCTCCTTGTTCATTCAATTTTATATTATTCCTTTTTAGTGTCTCGGTTTAGTTATATGCTCTGAACACATTCCACAAATGCATATTCATTATAATCAATTTTACAAGTTTTATTTATGTTTATTGTTCTTAGTTCTCATGCATCCTAATATTGCTTTGTCATCTTCGGGTATTGGCCAGCATGTGCCTACCTTGGTGTTTGGAGAATATCAGGGTTGGGCATGTCAATAGTACTAGTGGTGGAGCTAGAAAACTAGATTACGAAGGGCCTTTAAGCCATACGAAAGATTGCAATATCACTAATGGGGGAAAAAATTAATTTTTTTTTTTTTTTTTTTGGTATTGGCATGGAAAATTTTAATCTAACAAGAAGGGTGGAGCTTTAAATTTTGTATGAAAACCTAGTATTGAAATGATTATATTATAAATCAAAACTTGTTTACGAGCTTTGATTAAAAAAGATTTAACACATTAGATTCGAACAAAAATTTAAGGTCGTTGTTTAAAATAAGATCCTGCTCTAGATTGTATGAGCATTTGCGTGACATCCCGTCCCGGAAATATCGAAAACGTGCATGTGAAATGACCCTTTTACCCCTAGCTTGTTTTCGTATTATTGTTTGGTGGTTTGGGTGGTGTTGGCAGGTGTTGGGCCACACACACACCCTCTCACACTCCCTCTCTCTCTCTGCCTTCCTCCCTGTCTCTCCCGTGTTCCCATTTCCCTTCCCCTTTCACTGTGTACGTACGGACAAACCCACAAACACCCTAAACACTAGCAGATCGAGGAAACTAGGAGCACAGTTGTGATCGTGAAGTTCGTGGGAGCACACTCGTACCATTTTCAGGTAAGAAATCCGTCGTTTTCACGTCAATTCGACGATGTCCGTTTTGAGCACTGTTCATGCAAACATTAATCTAGCTCGTTTTTGGGATTTTGAAGCTCATAGTTGTCTTAGTGGGGTCCCAAGGAGCTTAGGAGTACTTCGTTGGACGAATTTGGACGTCGGACTAGCCTGGTTCGAAGTTGGCCGGTTTTTGGAGTTTGGAGACAGGTATGATCGAGTGGTTTTTAGCCTTTAAAAGTAGTATATTGTTGTTCTACTAGTTTTAGGCTTCAATTTGGTACAAAAATCACGAAAAATGGTTGAAAAACGAGTGAGAAAACACGGTTGGAAGTTTTTCCAGTTTTCCGGCGCCGGAGGTTCGCCGGAGAAGGTGACGGAATATTCCGTCAAGTCTGACGGAATATTCCTGACGCCGTTAACGGAATCTGTCAAAACTGACGGAATATTCCTAACGGCGTCAGTTGACGCCGTCAGCGTGCCAGGCACGTGCCTGCGCGTGGCCGGCGCGTGGGGGCGCGTGCGGCGGAGGAAATTTTTTCTAAAAATATGGTTGTGATCCTGAGTTTGTGTAGAGCACGTTGGTATATTCAATTGTCCAATTTGAGCAATGTATGAGAAGTTATTACGAGAAGTTGGTTATGTGCTTTTAAATTGATGTTTTTATAGTTATTTCGCATATAGGTGATACGTACCCCGAGGACGAGCGTGGTCACTCGAGGCAGGGGGGCTACGACCCTTCCACATACCAGTGAGTGGGCTTTTGTTTTCCGTATATACCTATATACTTTTATTTTCCCAGAAATTGTTTAAAAAGGGTTAAGTGTTTTATGCCATGCACCATATTATTACCGTTTATGCATCATTGCATACATTAGTGGTGGTATACATTTACATATGCATATTTGGTGCTGTGGACGCACAGGTAAGTGTCAGGTAAGTGGTATACAGGTTTATATTCAGTAGTGGTTTGAGATGCTTAGAGAGCTCATAACCTGCACCCCCGGTGTTAGTGCTCCCGCCCAGAGTAGGGCATAGTCCTTCACGTGATGTTCACCTCCCGCACCACACGCTCAGCTTGGATCCAAGTTAGGTGCACAGTCCTGTTGTACAGACCACTTTAGGTGGTTCCGACTCGTAGGTGACCCGCGATTATTCGCACAGCCTTCACGTGATCGTAGCACTAGAGCGTATATATATATATGTTTTACACCCAGGCCTGTCGTATAGACCACTTTAGATGGTTCCGACTCGTGGGCAGGTTCATTATTCGAGATAGAGATTTGAGCTCTAGATGCAGCCGTACAGGTCACGTTAGGTGACTCCGTCTGCCAGATTACATGATATTGATATGTTTATACCTGTGCACTTGCATATCATTATGAGATTTCGGCATGGCATATTATTGAGCACATGGCATATATTTGAGCATGTTTGGCATATATACTATACGTATATCTATTTTTCTGGGAAGTATACAGGTTTTACGGCGAGGGGTTAGAAAGTATTTTTATAAATGGTTTTCGAAAGATTTGTTTTTGCCCACTCACGCTTTTGTTTTGCGCCCTTCCAGGTTCTAGTTGAGTAGCAGTTCTGGTGGTTTCCTAAAGGGCTTTTCCGGCATTTCTGACAGACACCCACCATAGTAGGGTCACCTTCGGGTGTACTATTGTCGTATCTTTTCTTTTGGACTGCTGTAGACCTGCTCTGAATTTGTGACTCACACGCTAGCACTTATTCTTAGTACTTTGTATGCTAGTTTTTAAATATTCGTACTCTTTATTAATATTTTATTAGCTTCCGCACGTGCACATGGTTACGTCATCTCCGTGTGATGGCCAGCACGCCCTGATCTCGGTCGGGGTGTGTCAATTTGTTTTATATCAACTAGCTAAAAAAGGAGTGTATGATTTCATATGTTAAAACATAAGGCTAATTATAGCCAAAAAAAAAAAAAACAAAGAGCTTAGTTTTTTTTTTTTTTTTTTTTTTTAAACAATAAAAGAGTTTGGTTTTATTATGGTAAAAACTAAGAAAAACTAACGAAAAATCTAAAAAAAAACTTTAGTTTTAATGAAAAATGACAAATAAAGGTGTAGTGAATAGTACTAAGCAAAAGTAAAAATGTGATTTTTCGTTAAAAGTGAACAGTACCGAGAGTATTTCGTTAAAATTCCCTAAAAACTAAGGCAAATTATAAGGGTAGTGTTATTATTTCAATTTAAAAAAAATCTAAATAATGTCAACATAGCAAGTCTCGAACCATGGACACGAAGAATTGAAAAACCACACCAGCCAATGAGTCACATGCTCGATTGTTTAAACACTTGCACAAAGTAAAAAAAAAGGACTGAAGTTTCAGAATTTGTAGGGACCATAGGACCATATCAATTTAATTAATAATTTAATAGGCTCATCAGTTGCAGCTATACACGAACATTAACATACCCCTTCTGAAACTGAAAATGTTTATCACATCATTAATTGCATCGCGATTCCCCAACAAAACAAAACAGATTTGCTCGCCTGTATTAAGAATAACAAATAAAGAGAAATACCAGGGGCAGAATGGTAATTTAAGATAAAAACAGAAAAGTAGTGGTCAACCGAGATTGGGCCTTGGGCTGGGGGGTGTCCGAAAATCCAAACCGAGAAAAGGACAAAAGCACCCCCGCAAGATAACCCTTTTAAACATTGACCCTGCGGTGAGTGAACAGTCCTACTCCCACCACCGCTTTCTGTCTGACTCCTCCCGCTTCCTTTCCCTAATCGCTATTGCCAATCACGGTAGTTCCACGTGTCTTCCGACGTGGCAGGTACTCCAAACCAGCACTCGCCATTTCTGCTTTGCTAGGCGCCAGGTGTAACCGTCAAACAAGAGCCAACAACTGCACCCAACAACAAAAAATTAAAATTCAAATATCACCAATTTAAAAATATTTAAAAATTAATAAAATTATTTTTAGAGAGACAAAGTCTTCCTCTCTCTACAAAATCGAGGCCAGTCAGTCTACTCAACTACTATATAAAATCACTGCCACTCTCTCTCTCTCTCTCTCTCAGCTTCTTTCTTTTTTGTTTATTTTCGTTTTTTTTAATGGTGTTATTTGGGTTGTTGAGCTTTGCCGGAAAATCGTATAGGGGACAATTTTCTCGGTAGCCAAACAGCGGACGCGACTCAAATGTGATGGGAAGTGGAGTCTCCACCCTCTCCGCCTGCTTCCGGCCGGTTCACCGGACCAACCACCACCACCCGGACCACAACGACGTTGTCTTCGCGGCGTCCGAGCCCCTGGACGAAACCCTAGGCCACTCTTTCTGCTACGTCCGCTCCTCAGCTCGCTTTCTCTCTCCTACTCAGTCGGATCGCTTCATTTCCCCTTCCAACTCCCTCCGCTTCTCGCCCCCTCACGAATCCGGCTCCAGAACCCGACCCGGATTGCACGAAACCGGGTTCAAAGCCATCTCCGGGGCTTCCGTCAGTGCCAATAGCGCCACTCCTAGGACTGTCCTCCAGCTTGACAATATTTACGACGATGCAACTGAGAGTGTTCTCGGCGGATGCGGCGGTGGCGTCCGGGGGAGTATAGTCAATGGTTTCGAGAGTACGTCGTCGTTTAGCGCCTTGCCTCTTCAGCCCGTGCCACGTGGCGGTGAGCGAGATCCCTCGGGTCCAATGGAGCGGGCGGGCTTCTTCCTCTCTGGCCCGATAGAACGCGGCGCCCTCTCCGGTCCCCTCGACCCAAACCCGAACGCCAACCCGGCCGGGCCAGACGGGCGGGTTCACTTCTCGGCGCCACTCGGTGGCCCTTACGTGAAGAAGAGGCGGAAGAAGGGCATTTCGGGGATTGGGAAGGCGCTGTATCGGAATTTCTCGGAGAAGAAGCAGCGCCCCTGGGTTGTTCCGGTGCTCAATTTCGTTGGTCGGAAGGAGGGTCCACCGTCAATCGGAGAGGAGCCTGAGCCCAAGAGCGAGAGCAATGTCCAGTGGGCTCTTGGCAAAGCCGGGGAGGATCGTGTACATGTGGTTGTATCGGAAGAGCAGGGGTGGCTGTTTGTTGGGATTTACGATGGGTTTAATGGCCCTGATGCTCCGGAATTTCTGATGGGTAATCTTTACCGTGCATTTTACAATGAGCTTCAGGGTTTGTTTTGGGAGGTTGGTGACGATGATCAAGCCCCAGAAGCCGCTGAAGAAGCCAATAACAGTAACCCACCACCAAATGTAGCTTCAGAGACTGATGTAGTTGTAGAGGGCAAAACTGAAAACGAGTCGAATTCAGATTCGAAACCCTTGCCGGAAGCTGATCGGGAAAAGAGAGTGACTTTTCAATCCGACGGTGTTAGAAGGCGGCGGCTTTGGGAATTGCTGGCTGAGGCTGAGGCTGAAGAGGGGCTTGACCTTTCGGGTTCCGAGAGGTTTGCATTTTCTGTTGATGACGCAGTTACAGTGAGCAATGAGGGTTCGGGTTCTGCTGTTAGTAGGCGGTGGCTTTTGCTGTCAAAATTGAAACAAGGCTTGACTAAGCACAAGGAGGGTCAGGGTCATAGTAGAACGTTGTTTCCATGGCGGTTTGGTTTGGAGGAGAAAGAGAAGGTTGAGGTTGAGAATAGAGTGGAGGAGAGGTCTGCTCCAACTGGCAGGAAGAGGAAGGAGGGACCGGTGGATCATGAGTTAGTGTTGAGTGCATTGTCAAGGGCTTTACATGCGACGGAGGAAGCGTATTTGGAGATGACCGATAAGGTTCATGATACGAATCCGGAACTTGCATTGATGGGGTCATGCTTGTTGGTTGTGCTAATGAGGGATGAGGATGTGTATGTGATGAATTTGGGGGATAGTCGGGCCATTGTAGCACATTATGAGCCGGAGGAAGGTGATTCAAGCAGTGCTTTGACAGGGTACAAGGACAATGGGTTGAACACTGAGGATATAACTGAGTCGTCCTCAGCTGTGGCCAATGAGGCTCCTACTCAAGCAATGCAATTGACTGCATTGCAACTGTCCACTGATCACAGCACGAGCATTGAAGAAGTAAGTTCTCTGCTTCTCATGTATGTATCTGTAGCTTTAGTTCTCATGCTAATATTGTTTGACCAGTCATTAATGAATTCCTACTTGATTGTTTTGTATTTTCCTGGATGGATGAGGTTGGTGTGTTTAAGTTTTCATTTTACTAAAGAATCCTATATCAAAAACATTTTTATGCGCAAACGCCAAATAACTTGGTTGTTTTCCATGGTCTCTTGGTTCTTGAGTTGCTATCTTTAATAATTTTGAAGCAGCATGCTTCACAATTTTATCTCCTGGTAATGCATCTTGGTCATAGAATTTCTCTTTTTTTATTTTTATTTTTATTTTATGAAAAGTTGGTGAGAGAAATCGGTTCTAGTTGAAGCACACTTCTCGTTCATGTAATTCATGCTAGATATATAGTCTTCCGACACTGGAGCTAGATTTTTCCCTTAGATTGTGTGATACTTTGCTAAATATGTATTCGAGTTTTTCTTTTAGAAAACGCCACACCGGCTCTGATGCTTCCTACCAAGGCAAACTTAAGGTTCTTGTTGTTTCTTAAACTTCTGGTGTTTGTTTAAGTGTTGGAAAAATGTATTGGCAAACTTGAGGTATTAATCTATAAGAAATCTAACCAATGTGTAAAATATCATCAGTAATTCTTTGAAAGAAATTTATTATGAAATAAAATTAAATGAAGTTAATTGTAGGGGAGGTGCGTTCTAAATTTGCTTTTTGTCACTATTTATGACGTGGTCTAGACTCTAAAGAAAAGCTATCTAGGAATTGCAATTATCAAATCATGTTTCAACTGTTTAAATAAGCCTACTAAAGTATCATCCATTGGTTGTACTGAACCTGATTTTGTACAATTGCCCTAAGCAATGTGTCCTTTCTGGGGACGGGGACAGCAGACTTAAAGAATTGAAGAAGCTTCCTTTTCCCGTCCTGGCTTTTTCGGTTGTCTCATTTGCCTTTATGTTCAATTCCTTTATGGATGGGGACAATATGTGGAAGCTTCCGTGCATGTATCTTTTCTTGTGCCAGTCCTTCAATGTTTAATAACCTTGTGGATGTGCCGCTGATGTGCGCATGTTGATAAGTATGAAGTGTTTTCTGTCAATGCCTTGGTGGATCTTTTCACCTCCGTTCCAAAAAGTTACTTCTCACCATAATAATGCGCTCAGACACTCATTTTTGTCTTCTTATTGGTGCGGATGTTTGGTTGTTGTTCTTTGTACTATTCCCTCTCTCTTTCCCATCCATAGTGTCATCTGGTAACAATTATAGGCATTTCCTCGTTTAGTTTCTGAGTCATGTTGTTTGATGCATCTTAGCTCGTATTCGTTTGTGTTTTGTTTTTCAACAATTTTTCTTTTCGTTCTGCAGGAAGTAACAAGAATAAAAAATGAACATCCAGATGACAAACATTGTATTGTCAATGATAGAGTGAAAGGTCGGCTTAAAGTTACCAGAGCGTTTGGGGCTGGATTTCTGAAACAGGTTTAAGTACATTATTGTTAACTATCCTGTTGAAGTTCACTTTTTGCATGGTTTGGTGTGGAGATACTTATTTCATATACATTTTGAGAATCTGAAGTAAAATTGCATTTTACACATCTATTGAAAAGTTACGGCTTGACATTACTTGTATAATAAGGGAACGACCTAACGAGGTTTCGTAATTATTGACATAGAGTTTCAACAGTCCCAAGTTGTGAATGGTCAATTTCAATCTGTACATATGTTTTTTCTTTTTTGTTACAAGAAATCATGTTCATATGTTTATTACCTCTGTATGTATAATTGTGTCTGTATGTTTCAAGATTATTATTTTTTTCGCTCTAATCAAACAAAACCAGAATCCTCAGCAAATTTGTTAAAAGTTAATTATGATTTTGTGTTTTTGTTGCTGCATGAACTCACCATGTTCAAGTGCATTGGACGCACGGTCCAGTGTCCTCAGTAGGTAACAATGTGATTTGTTTTTGTTGTGCAGCCCAAGTGGAATGACACGTTATTGGAAATGTTTCGAAATGAGTACATTGGCACTGCACCATACATATCATGTTTGCCTTCTCTTCGCCACCATAGACTCTGCCCTAGTGATCAGTTCTTAATCCTGTCATCAGACGGTTTGTATCAGTATTTTAGCAATCAGGAAGTAGTTTCCCATGTTGAGAATTTTATGGAGAAGTTTCCAGATGGAGACCCTGCACAACACCTGATAGAGGAGCTTCTTTTCCGTGCTGCAAAAAAAGCTGGTAATTTCCTCCATTTCTTTTGCCTCTTATATTGTGAAAATTGTATATACGTACTTTTGGTGTTCTTTTTTCGTTGTAATTTGAAGTATTCGTAGCAAGAACAATGCAAGGCTTAGTAGGACGGTGTTAGAATGGTGGGTGCAGGCACTATATTTTAGGATTGGAAATAGTTACGTATGCAAGTGACCTTTACCACAGTGGTGGAAAGATGTGGAGCTTTTGCATGATGGCGTGGGTTCAAACCCCGTCGTTAGCTAATCTAACAAAATTTATCATTTGACAAAAAAAAAAAAAAAAAAAAAAGAAAAAAAAAAATAGTTATGTATCAAATTGATTAGATAATTTGCAAAAGAACGGCACTGGCTTCATAGGTTTTTAGTCTTGCCTAATTCAAGGATAAAATTAGCAGCAGTTGTAGATATTTTGGTAGTCCAGATTTACTGAAATATCAATCAAAAAAAAGAAAGAGCAAAGTCTACCTTTAAACATGGGGAATTTTAAGTGATAAGGGGCTGCATTTGAAACATGGTTTTCACTATTAACCAAATCCCATCTAGCTAATTTCTTTGCCCAAGCGTTTATCTAATTGATCAAAGAGCAGTAACTGTCTAGCATGTGGGTTCTAGAGCCGTCGCCAGTCAAACCTTTAACAGATAATGATTAAAAAGTGTTTTCGAAATAGAGAAGGGGCCTTCTTCTTTGTTCATCTTGTTCATCTTTTAACTTCTACTTGAAACTTTTCAGATCACATGTACAAAGTTGCATAGAAATTTCAGTACCCAAACCAGAATTTCACTGACATTTGACCAGATTCCCCACAAGAAAACAACAGATGAAATTGATCAGATAATTACTGTGAAACTATTGATGTTACAAAAACTTCTGTGATTCTTTCAAAATATTGGTTAAAGGGTGGAAATAAACACCTTCCTTCCTATCAAGTGTCGGCACTCTGAAAGACTGTAATTTTGACTTAATTGTTGGCAATTTCTATAAAATATAGTACATTGACCTTATTAATTTGATCGGTATCATATGTGCATTCTACTACTATCTACTACTATGAGCATGTGTGCATTCTCCCTCCCCTTCCAGAGCCAAGCTCGAGCATATGTTTACGTGACAATATCAATTGGGCTGAGCTTGAGCATGCATAATATCAACTAAGTTGAGCTTGAGCACCTTGGTACTTGGCTCGGCCCATTTACACTCCTGGTAGGCATCAGACTTAGCTAGGATTTAGGTTTACCCATCTAAGGTTTTAGGTTTTTGGTGGAGAAAGGAGTTGGTTGAAGATGCTTTTAAGTTTACCCATCTAAGGTTTTAGGTTTTTGGCCTCCTGAAAGCATAGACTTTAATCCCTTAATCTGACACTTGTCTTTCTAGTTTGGACAAAAAGCTTTATTATTAGTCTACATATTTTGTTAGGGTTTTATAGCTTTGAACCTGAAGTGTTTTGGTATGCAGGAATGGATTTCCATGAATTACTGGACATCCCGCAAGGAGCTCGCAGGAAGTATCATGACGACGTGACCGTTATGGTTATATCACTTGAAGGAAGAATCTGGAAGTCATCGGGAAAGTACCTTTGAAACTTTATACGCAAGCAATATTCTCTCTAAAACAGGTGATATTGCAATTTCGGTTTTCGGCTAGGGATGTTGTGCAAGCAGTAGGGAAAAGCTTTGCTGCTGACAGTTGCATGGGTCCATTAGGGTTTTCTATTCGCTCACAGCATAAGCATACAACTAGTTAGGGATGGGAAAAGGCTGATGTTAGATATCACCAAATACTTAATAGGGGGGAAAGTCAGACGGAGTTGTTGGGAACTGCTCTTTTGTTTGGGGGGGGGGGGGGGGGGGGGGGGGGGGAAGAAAAATCTATTCCTTTCGTTTCGTTTTTCTCTTAGATTTACATTTTTGTTTAAAGAAAAACAAAAATAGAAAAAATTGCATAGGCGGAGGCTCTTTCGATTTCTTCTGTGCCTTGTTTATCTCGTTTCTTCTTTCCCGGAGCGGAAATGGTGTTTGTAAATTGGTGGGGGTACACATTTACTTACTGGACTTTGAGCATTCCCTTGTCAAAACTGAGCATCTCTAATTTTGGAAGGTGGGTTTTCCACCGTCGCGGATAACAAGAGTTGGATTGTTTAGAATTTGTGTTGGCGTTTCAATTCTTTGTAGCATCAACAAGTCACAGTCGACTTATGTTACCGGTACGGTGGTACCTATAGACGAAACAACAGGGAAGAGAAAATAAAGGTAATACAAGTTTAAGCATCGATCTATTAAGACGCTTTTTTCACAAGTGCTGCTTTAGAAAGCACTATTTGATGTACAAGTACTTTTAAGGATTCTTTCCGGCAAATCTTTTAACCCTTCCAAATCTGATTAACACTAGAAAGTTGAGTTAAAAGTGACAACTACACTAAAACCTATTGATCCAACGACGCTTAACCTCGCTCGCAAATCACATATGTTTATTCTCACAGTGCAGCAAAAGGAGCTTCAACTCCGAACTAGCTCTTGGTCTAACAGCGCGTGCGGGAAAGTGGACATAAAGTGAACTAGAGTTTGGTTGTTTTGTCTTTCACGAAGATCCAACCCTTTGTTTTCAAAATGATAAACGTAGCTAAATTACTTGGTTCTAGTTAGTTTCAAAAACGAAAAATTGGACGAAAAACAAGTAGGATACCAAACAACTCCCTAAACGTTTAGGTTGCCTGAAAACTGTATAACTACTCTGGTACAAAAAGTTATTCTGAAAGTGAAACATACAACGATCCAAATGAGATAATCCATTTCCCATTTGACATTACATAGTATAAACATATAAAGCACTTAAGCTGTCGTGACGGCCGACGACGGAGCCTGTGACTGCGCCCACGACACTAGATCCTCCCTGGTTGCCACAAAACTACCAGCTTTCTCTTCACTCTGTCTAAACGGCGCAGCCAATTTCTTCACATGAGAACCAAAGGAATGCGACAGCCCTTGCGAGAATTTGTGACTTCCGCTACCAGTTTGAGCGGAGAACATCTCCGGCAACGCCTCTTCCCGCTGTACTATTTTGTAGAGCGTTCCCATCCACTCTTCAAGTGCAGTGTGAGCTGCACCTATGGATAGTGACCTAACGTCCAAACACCACTCCCTTGCAGTCTTGGTGTGCAGACCCGGATACAACCCGTATAGGGTTCCCAAATAGAGCAGCTCATGAGCTCTCTCATGGTTGTTTTTGTTTCGGCATATATCAATCAAGCAGTTACAGAAGGGTCTCCGGGATTCAACCGCGGTACTACCAATAGCGTTCCTGAACTCATCTTTAATAGTCTCAAACCCGATTTTCTTATCTTGCAGCACTTCGACAAGAGTCACCAACTTCGGATTTGCCTGCTGCAAACAAGAAAGCACCCTATCCTCATCCTCAGTTTCTTCACACAACGATACAACAGAGAGTAAGCACCCACAAAGCCTATCATCTGGTTTAACCCCTTTTTCAACTGCAACATCAAAAACTCGGACCATATCACCGAATCTTCTAGCTTTCCCCAAGCCCTGAATCAAACAAGTGCACCCCATGACATTGAGCTCGATACCCAACTCGGACATTTCTTCAAACAATTTCATTGCCTCATCAACATTCCCTCCGCTCCCATAGATGTTCAGCATTGCAGTGTAACTCCAACTGTCTGGCCTACAATGCTCCGACTGCTTCATATCCTCAAAAAGCGTCTTAGCTTCCTCCTCCAAACCAAGGTCCGCACACATATTCAACAATGTGTTATACAAAATGAAGTCCATAGGCCACTTATTCGACCTCATTCGCTCCCACAATTCCAAAGCATCTCGAGCCCACCTTGCCTTGCCATAGATCTTAACAAGCGCCGTCAATGTTTTCTCATTCGGGGTTAGCCCTGATTCCACCATTTCTTTGAATAAGCTCCTTGCCAAACCAGGCTTTCCGGCCTTCCCCATTGCCTCTAACAAAGTATTGTACACAACCAAATTAGGCTCTACACCAAGAGCAGCCATTTCTTGCAATACATACCTAATACCATCATAATCTCCAGCCTCCCCAAACATCTTACCCAAAACCGAAAATGCAATCGGGTCCGGTTTCCACCCACTAGCTCTTCCCCTCTCATACAAACTAAGAACCTCCTCAACCTTGCCCAATTTAGCATAAACATCTAAAATGGCAGAGTAAGTCACCTCATCCGGCATCAAACCGGTCTTATACATCCTCTCAAACCACTCGACCGCCTTGTCGAAAAGCTTGGACCTCTTGGCACAAGTGATTATAGTAGAATACGTAATGTTATCGAGCTCAATCTCGTCCCTTATCATCTCCTCCGCGAGCTCTTCGATGAGCTGAAACTGCCTCCCGAACCTCAGAGACTTCATAGTGACATTGTAGAATATGGTTTCCATTGGAAACAAATTCTGGGACTTCACCCAATTGAAGAACATGTGGGTTTTCTGCCATGGCTTCAAGCTATTCAGAATCAAAAGCGCATTTTCTCGTGTGGGCGGGTGGGGGATTTCTTCAAGGGCAGCCAAGAAGGCAACTTTGGTGGCATCACAGTCGTTGAGCTTGTGGGCAAACCCCCTCAGATCTCTCACCTGAGGATTGTAAGAGTAGAGAGACCGCTTCTGCCGCTGCAGAGAGAGCACGGAGCGTTTCGGCTTGGCCGGGTTGACCCAGATGGATTTGGGCTTGGATATCAACTGGGATTGGTCTTGGGGCGGAGGAGGGTCGGAGAGAGTGGTTGTGGTCAGAGGCTGGAGCTGCTCGGACAAAGATAAAGATGGGTTTTGGTTCTTCTTCTTGTTGGTGGTGGGTTCGGCTAAATCCGGCGGGGATTTGGGAGGAGAATTGGCGGAGCGGCAAGAAATGTTGAATTTTTTGGTTGGGATTTGTCGAAAAGGTGAAGAGAAGAAGATGGGTCGCTTTGTATCCGAGGAATTCAGAGTCCAGTGGACAGCACTGGTAGCCATTAAAGATTGAGAGTTGTTTGGTAAACGAAGATGTTGTGGATATTTTGACACCTTATCTAAAACGGAAGCAAAATTCTGGCTTTACGACGAACCCTAAATGAATTTAACGGTTGAATTATTTTGGAAAAATGCCATAAAAAAAAAAAAGAAAAAAGTAGAAAAAATTGGTTCTAGATCCACCACAAGGGTGGGTAGCCTTAACCGGATGTGTGGTAACAGGTAAGCTCGGAAGCTGTTCCCGTCCCTGTCAGGGGAGATGCCAACCATCTCTCCTTTCTACGAACACAGGCTTGTCGGGGAGTTGGAACTATATAAACTAGAAAAGATTTTGTGTTTGGTCGATGTGGGATACAGGCCCTCTCTTGGTTTGGGCTTGGTGCTATAGGCACTAGATCATTCAAAGAAGTCTAAACAAATAGCAAGATGTTATAAATAGATAAAAGTATCACATTGTTTATGTTTGTAATTGTATCACACAAATGATGCAGGTAAAGACAAGGGAGAGATATTTGTATCATTGCTTCGTGTTGTTTAATCATACACTGCATGCTCTTTATATATAGTCATTTACACGCAGAAATCTACAAGGGCAATTAATGCATATTGATAAACCGTGTCATACAAGTTGAAAGTTGAAGACCATGCTATACCACAACAGCAAAATTTGACAATACCATAATTTTTAGTCCTCACTTTTTCACCTTTGACTAAACCATGTGGGCCAATTCCCACAGCTTTTACAACACAAGATAGCATAGTTTTACACAAAAATGTTCTCCTTGTGACTTGGAACCAAGGAACACATGGTTGTTCATAAATTTGATATTGATGGTGATGAACAAATGAAATATAGAAGCTAGCCTACTATTTATCTAATAGGAATTGCCGATTTGTTGCTAGAGGAGGAGTGAATTTTTCACTCTCAATCTTGAACTTCTTTACAACGCCTTTTTTTTTTCTTTTCTCTTCAGTTGTTTTCTTTCCTCTAAAAAACCTAGCACTATTATGAAGTTGAGCATCTTCAAGAGATTATTATTTTTTTAAATAACGACATATTTATATTAAGGGGTGAGGTGAATAAATTGGTTTTAAACTTATTATTTACGAGATTCAAACCTAAAACATCTCACTTATGCGTGAATAGGAATATCATTATACTATAATACTAAGTGACACTCCAAGAAACATCTCACTTATGTGTAAATAGGAATATCATTATACTGTAATACTAAGTGACACTCCAAGAGACACTAAAACCACACTATGCTAAATATTTTAGTAAGAAATCAACAAAACATTGCCCTAAGAGTCTTTAAAAAGACTTGCTAGTTTAAGTTAACGAAATAGTACTCTATAGATTTGAAAAGGTATCCTAGTGGATAGGGTGTTGATTTCTACCCTGCTTCTCGAGTTCGAAACTCCATCATCTCCTAATTATTGTAATTATTTCAAACTCTTCTCCCTTCCTTAATAATAATAATTTTTTTTTTTAAAGCTAAACTTTAAAAAAAATATTAAAACTCTCCTGCTATTGAAGTTTTTCTCTCTCCTCAATCCTCATGTAAATCGGTGAATATCTAAGAGTGTTATAAAAGTGGCTGACCTGCATGAAGAAATATGCACCATCCACTGCGTCTTGTTAGCCAACAAATGTTGAAGGTGTGCTATCTACTTTCACATCTCTTGGCCTTAATAGAGAAGATATAGTTTTCCTATATAAATGCCTATTTGCTCACAAATATGTAGAGACGATAGAGAAGATACAATCTCTTGTTTCCATTGCTTTGTAATTTCAGTTTGATAATGAGAGAAACTATTGCTATTGACACACCTTGATCTCGATATCCTCCAAACACCAGGATGCGCACGTGTAGGCTGACAACCGTGGGTGATGAAAGCTATTTTAACATGCATGCAAGTTATGAAGAAAAGAACGAACGTAAATAAAATATGTAAATTTAAATATAATGAAATATGGAAATGCGGGAACGTATTCAAAGCAGACAACTAATAAAGAATACTACAAAAGGAATATTATAAAAAGGTAAGATTATAGAGAAAGGGGTCCTACACTGAGATGAGGACTCGAAGCTACTGATATGGAAATGCCTTGACGTCGGGATCGGGGCATGTCAGATTGGTATCAGAGCCTGATTTGTTTAGAGCATACTTTGGATCTTCTTCTACTCTAGTAGTGCGTTGGCCTTGATATCATTTGGATGTCACGACTTTCGTTTATAGATGTCTTTCGGCACAGTTGTGCAATTCTTATTCAGTCTAAATTGTCACATCCTTATTTGAAGTATGAAAATTCGTGTCAGGATTGTGCCTTATCGGTGACATAATGGAATGATGGATGACTTTCAACAACAGACTGATACTCTGCGACATGTGTTCCTTAGGAATGGCATGCAAAATCAGATTTACATAGAAGTGATGCGAAATAAGGATGAAATTTGGTTAAGACCAACTGAAGATCTGAAACGATGATGATGCTCTATGACTTGCGTTCCTTAGGAATGACGGGCATAGTCATACCTATATGGAGATTACTCGAAATATCCGAAGTTCGTGTTGGAGAAATTAAGGAAGCACCAGCTGTAAGCGAAGTTAGCAAGTGTCAGTTTGGTTAAACTAGATCAATTTTCTCGGGCTTGTTGTTTTCGCCGAGGGAATTCATGTGGACTTGATAAGATTTTTGGTGATTGCATTTCCTCTTAACAAGTTGAGGAATGCTCAAACGATGTGTATAAATCTAACTAACCGGGTAATCCATGCATTTTCTGACAGATTCGTGATTGCCTTAATGACAACTTTCTTGTCTACTCCAACAATAAGGTCAAATTTACTAAACGTTAGCAGTCAACTTTATACCACATTCCTCAGATGTTAACTTTGTTTAGAGTATATACCTTTCTTGGGAGATGTTAGCATAGTAGATGATATTCTTACAATTTCCAAAACGGTTGCGGTTGCAAAAAATAAAAAATCCTCATAAAGTGTTGTGATCATTAGTCTTGTCGATTTCTATTGTCAATTGTCAACGATTCTTTGAGCATAGCCATATTCCCATTTTTGGCTAGGAAACAAGTTAGTTTTGTTTGAGATGTTGAATTTGAACAATGTTTCTGACAACTGGAGTGTTGTCTCACCTAACCATTGTTCTTACACTCTTTGATGACGTCGATCAATTTCAAATCCTACGGTGATGTTTTATTGAATGTTTAGCTGCGTGCTGATGCATCATGGTCGAGTAACGCTTATGCCTTTTGATGGTTGGGACCACATGATGTGAACCATCCTATCTGCGACCTAGAGTCAACGATTGCCATTTTTACTTGAAAACCTGCTGACACCTTATTCGTAGAGAAACGCGTCAAATCTTTATCAACCTCATAAACTTCTCAAGTATATATTCACTCAAAATGAGCTAAATCTCAAATAGCGATGATGGATATGATATATCAATGTCTACGATTGCACCATCGTCTACCACCCTAATCGTGCAAACGTGGTTGCTGACAACTTCAGTAGAAAAACACATAGATACCTGAACGCTCTTCAACCTTTTCTATTTCCACCTTATGCATAACTCATGAATACTGATGTGACATTTTTTTTCTTCAGATCATCAAGAAACCTTGTTAGCCTATTTCCAAGTTCTACCTTTCTATTTTTGACGTGAGATGAAAAAGGAATTGCTTAGTCGTTAGGCAAATACCTTACTACCTGGGGGTCAAAATAGGAAGAAAAGAACCGTTCGAGTTGTTGAGAGTGATTCCCATTTCTTGCACAAATGATTTGGTATACATGGAGACTATGGTGATGTTTTGGTGTTTGTCGACTAACTCACTCAGCGCTTTATCTATCAGTCCATGAGGACTACTTTGAACTGTTTGGCAGAATTCCTCATTCTCGAATTTGTCAGACACTTTGACGTTTTGGTCTGCTTCGACTCTATTCGCAATCCTAGATTCACCTCCTGGCACTAAAATATATTTTAGTCAATCTTGGGTTATCTACTGCACTTTGTGTCATTTTTTAAGTAGATAGACCGTCCAAGAGAACCACTCAGACATTGAAGTTTTTAGTTGAGATCATCAGTCCTGCAATCACCCATTAACACCCTATTGAACAAATCCTTACCATCAGTGATTGAATATCTCTGAAGTTACTGTTGTAACGAGATGTTGTGAATATTGATTTAGGGGAAATCTAAGTTCAATATTACAAAACCATTTATTAGTGTCGCTATGATAACCGACAAGAAATGTATATTACTGTCGGATATGAAGCAAAATCCGACAGAAAATGGATGTAGTGGCGTATATAATAAACGATAGAATTGCCAGCGTCAGGAAATGAATTTTCTGACAGAAGGTACACTAAAACCGACAAAAATTGTGTCGGATATAAGCGACAGAGAATATATTAATAATGAATAAATAAGAGCATTCTCTGTTGGATAAAACCAATAGAAAATACTCTAAAACCGCCAGAACTTGTGTCAGATATAACCGACAGATAATTTAATAATAATGAATAAATAAAAGCATCCTCTGTTGGATAAAACCGACAGAAAATATAGTAATAAAAAAAAGTACAAATGTATGTCTCATCTCTATTAAAGAGACAATACAAATAATGGTACAAAAAAAGAGTAAGAATAACAATTTTTATTGCCATTACATACGCATGTTATAGGTACTCTTCTTCCTCATAATGCATTTCATGGAACAATCTTGTAAGCCTTCATCTTCTTAATCCGTGAAATGAAGGACTTTTTGGAATTCTTGAAACCCAAAAAGCCATGCTTTTTGCTCTTATTCATACTGTCCAACAAAGCCGCCCCACCCAACACAAAGTCAGCAAACCACCACACCGCCACCTCCTCCAACTTCGTCGGCTGTAGCCCGTTCTCCCTCACAATCTCCTCCCACACACCGACTTTCCCTTCCATCATCTCGACCAACCTCAGCCTACCACTCTCCTCCTCATCAAACCCATACTCCTCG